GCAAAAAAAGATCTGATAAAAATAATATCAAACTAGACATTCAAATCTTTTTCTTTCTTTTTTTGATAACCGTAGTGTCTAGGCCAGCTTCTGCGCACCTCCCAAAGGATATCAAACTAGACATTTAAATCTTCTCTATTCAAAAGGGGTAGACACTTCTGTTTTTTGAATTCTACCTCAAAACTAGTAGCCATTGCAAGTGGAGAAAGAACCATCAACAATAGTAGCCATTGCAACTGATGAAGGAATTATTAAATTGAACGGCACCAGATTTAGTTTACTTTAATTCCATTTCCTTGCATCACAATTTGAGATAGGACTAAAATGAAAACTAAAGCATCATCAATTTTGATCCAATACTACAATTTTCTAGCACACAAATTTGAGATGTGATGATGGATTTATAACAGAGCAACTGCAAGACAAAACATATAAGCCAGAACTGTCATATCCCGGTGGTCAATTTCCTTTTTCAATGGCTATATAATTGGAAAGTGACGACAACAATATCAAGAAGCTATTAATGGTTCTCCTGGCAAAGAGAACTGTGGAAGACCAAATTTAAGCACATTGAAGCCAAAACTAAAAAGCTCCAGACATGAAATCCCTTTATGTCAGCTCTATGTCAAAGCACCAGAAGCACACAAAAAGAACATCCTAAAGAGCTTTCCCCGCGAAATAACATAAAGAGCTGCAGCTCAAAGGAGGAGGACTTAACTTACTATTAATACATTATTCAAGAAGAAATCACATATTACATTAAAGAGACTGCACAAAAACTTCAGGGTGGACCGAAACAAACCTTAACATGCACTTCTTCCATGTAGAGGCTCCCAGCAGGCAGAGGAGGAGTACAGGCCTTGTCCATCATGGATCCAACACCAACTTTGCTTCCAGCAGAACTATCAAATATTGATACACGGCAAGTAACTGGGGTTGTGCCATCTGGAAACTCAAGAGGTAGTTCCGCTTTTGAAGTGGAAAAAGAGAGAAAGAAAGGAAAAAGTTATTTATACCAGAGTACATAATTTGAGTCTGCACAAGTGTAAAAAAAACGAAAATAACCAGGAATACCTTCACCATCACGGCAGCAATCTGTATACTGGGAGGGAATTGGAAAAGCAAACGACAATCCCTGCAAAGTTGCCATCTATCAGAATCCTCAACACAAAACTAAGTGATGGATAATTGAATAAGAGCCTCTTTGGATTGGCTTATTTTAGATGCCTTAAGCCAAAATAGCTTTTAAGCACTTTTGTAGTGTTTGGGTGAAATAAATAAGTGCTTTAAACACTAATTTATTAAGCCAAACAATAAAAATAAGCCAAAAGTTGCAAGTCAGATTTAAACGTGGCATTCAATAGACATTGGACAAACATACTCTTTCACTTTCATTTCTCAATCCGGCTCACTCCCGGCTACGGTTTGGACCTTTCGCCTGCTTAGAAGTGGATTCGAACCACTGACATAAGGATTTTCAGTCCAACTCCTCTGTCCTTGTCATATGTTCCTGGATAGGTTGGTCCAAAAAGAGAATAGACGGCTACAAAAGTGGCCAAAGTGGACGGCCCGCTGAAAGAAACAAAATCAAAAGACAATATTTAAATCACTAGAAATGTTGGGAGGTGTTAGCACAGCATCATGAAAACCTACCAATCTAGACAGTTGTGTAAGTAAACACTATGAAAACCTACCCTATTACAGAGGTGGCATAGCGCATCTGAAGCCTTTTTACATCAAATATTTCAATAAGGCGCAGTCTCTGAAACAGGTAGACATGAGGGTGTAAGGACATACTTGAAAAAATGTTTCTAATTCATTATGCAAGTAGAAAGCTCTTGAGCCAATTTATAAAGGAAATAAATCTTATAAAAGAGAAACTTACGAAAGAAATAAGTTCATGTCTTCATGATAAAGTAAATTGCAAGAGAATTAGTAGTTATCCCTTCCTGGGTTGGGATAGTGATTCCAGAATAATTTATTGTGGGATTAGTTAGGTAAAATAATAAAAATATCCTCCTTAAACCCCATTTTTATACACCACTTTACATTCATTTATATTAACATAATTTTAACAATATTTATAGTAACATTCACAACCTTAATTATTCCTTGTTCATATGATAATATATTTTTCTATTAAAAAAGTACATTTTATAAATATAATTTTTATTTATGAATATGATATGTTGAATTTATTTGCCTAATTCTTAATGCTATTTATAATTTAGTTTCTCTTAAAATGTTCACTCCACTACTAAATTGCATATTTTTTATCGAATAGTTTATTACTCACTTAAAATTTTTATTTATATATCAATTAAAATGTAGATAACTTTAATAATAAAATTTCTTTTACTTTTAATAAACTTAAAATGAGACTTTTATTTTTAAGCTTAGTAAGATGAATATTTTCTTTTTAAATTAAAAGTTTTATTTTTAAGCTAAAGAAGATTGAAATTTTATTTTTAAACTAAACAAGATGGAAGTTTTATTTTAAAATTAAATAAGATGAAATTTTAATTTTAAAAACACATTGCACAATTATGTAAATGCACACTCAGAAATATTTAAGCTAAATAAAATGGAAAAATTTATTTTTAAGAATGAATAACTAAAACTTAGAAAGAAAATGTAAAAAAGTAAAATAAATACTAAATAAGATGAAGGGTATTTTTGGAAACAAACAACTTATTCTTAAAAATTATGTCATGAATATAAGTTTGAATAGCAATAAAAATTAATCTCACCATAGCTTATCCAAATATAACTTATCATAACATAACTAATTCCGACAGAACTTGTATTTAAATGAAACGACCCCTAAGATAATTCGACTCTCTCTCACATTGAAATCACAAACCATTCCCTAAGCATTTTTGTCAATTACAATATCAATTCCATTTGTCTACATGTTAAGTATCAATTACTTCACATCATAGTTGGTGTAGAATACTCCATTTGTTTCAAAAGAATGAGTTAGTTTTTTTTTAGTCTATTTAAAAAAAAATAATTTTTTTCTTTTCGTTTTTTGTAACAATTTTCCACATCGCATATTTAAGGCCATAAGATTAAAAGGACAGTTTTGTACATTTAACATAACTTTAATTTAGGACCACATGATCAAAAGTTTTCTTTATTTTCTTGAATTCCGTGTCAAGTCAAATTAAATCATTCTTTGTAAATTGGAGGGTGTAGGAAAGAAGAGAAAAGACAGAAGTCATCATTGAAGTTATCTCGATTTTTTAAAAAGATATCTTAACTTTGTGAGTGTCCTATTAACCCATAAAAGTATTGAATATCGTTGTAAAAGGATTATTTATGCCATTTGCTCACATGATAAGACGTGTGTGACGCTCACGTTAATTTCAATCCGACCCGATTTGTTTCAAAAACTGATGCTCACTCACGTGTGATACACACAAGTTATATCTATATTTTCATTAAAACTAAAAAAATGTTTCTGAATTAATTTCTCTCACCCGTCAAAGTTAACATTTTCACACACATTTTATTTATCAATGTAAAATCCTTTCCTTCAATTTCTTTATCCCTATTATTTCCGCTAATCAGATCTTCTTCTCGCTTTTAGTATATGAATTTTTTTCAGTATTTTCTCACTTAGATTTGAGTTTTTCAGTCGAAATTAGGGCTTAAAACTAAAGGGAAGTCGATAATTGATTACTCAATTGGGACTTTAAGGAAAGTTGTTAATGGAGAAGATTATAAAGAAGAGCTTGAAAATGATAACGTTGGGTTTGAAACAGTAATGATAACTAATAAAGAAAACAAGTGAAATGTGACTCTTTTCAATTGGCTTTAAATAGAAAAAACAAACTTTCACGCGCGTGTTGTGCGTGATCGCAAACTACTTGAGAAAATGGGATAAAATGACCCTTTTACAACGACATGAAATACTTTTATGGGGTAATAGGATGCCCATATAATTAAAGTATTTTTTTTGGAAAATTTGAAATAACTTTAAATGTTACTTTATGTCTTTTTTCTTTCTATGGTATGCATTGATGGAATTGCAACTATCAGAACCTAGGAAAGATCTATTAGAAGGGACAAATTAGTTTATCAATTAGGTAAAAGCTTAAAAGTTTTAAAAATTAGGTAAAAATGACAAATATATATATATATATATTAGGTTAAATTATGTTTTCATGATAGTTCCAAACTTTTAATTTTTACATTTTAATTCAGTAATTGTCGTAGCTATCGGGGCAACTTCTTTAATCGTTTGACAGTTGTCATAGTTGTCGAGATAACTTCAATAGTTGTCCAAGCAGCTTCAAAAATTATCCACACCAGTAATTACCGAAACAACTATGAAAAATATTATTGATTTAGTTTTTTTAATATTAAAAATAAAAAAGTAAAGACAATAAAAAATAGCCACTTGTCGTTTTCTTTAATTACGAATTTGCAATACATTTTTAGCTTATTTTCCCACCAAAGGGGAAGGTACACTCTCTCTCTCTCCCGCGAACCACCCGCTACGGCGGAACTACTGCCCCTCGCCGCCTCTGTCCCTCACGACCCTCCGCCGTACCTCAACTCACCGTCTCCTACTTCGCTGGTCGGAGAAACGAGGACGGAAAATCCCGTTCTTCTAGTCTGCTGTCCACTCCTTCGAGAAACACCACACTCTGCACCTCTGACTACGACGACCACCGCCAGTGCTGCTTCCACTCAATATCTCCTACAGTCTGTCTCCATTGTAAATTCAACCGCCTAGCTCCGGTGAGCCACCATCTATTCAGTCACATAGCAACATTTAACACTACTCGCATACTATCAGATTTCACTATATATATACCCTACTCTTTCACATTTTTATTGCTCTATTCTCTTATTTGTTGGTATTCAAGAGGAACGATATATCCTGTTTTGTGATTGTCCATTGCATAAATTGATCATTATGGCATTTTTTGTATGAGTCCTAGCTGACAGTGTTTCTTGTTGATTGCTACTTGATATGGTTGGAAGAGTGTTAAATTTCTTACTGATCGTGAAATTGGAATTATTTTTGGTCGTTTTGTTTTGCAATTTAGTTGTTAGTGCTGAATTGAACTTATGATTGTATTGAGTGGCGGAAAATTGTCCTTATGAAAGTGTGTAACAAGAGTAAGACCCTTGTCACATGGATGAAAGAAAAGAATAGAGAAAGCTAGTCTTTATAGTGATAGAACTAGTTGAAATTTTAATTAGGTAAGAGGGATAATGGATTGAACTGCAAAAATTTGGTCGAACCTCTTCTCTAGTGATTATCTGTACTGGAAATCAAAATCCAAAGGTTCTTTGGCCTATTATGTTGACCAAATCCTTGAAGATAGGTTGAGGCCAAAGAGACAGCAGGTCTGAGAAGCTAAAATGGAGAGAGAATGAGCTTGTGTGGTTGTTTCTTTTAAAATAGAGAGAAAATCAGCAGGTCAAAAGTTAAATTTTTGTGATTGTCCATTGCATGGATTGATTATTATGGCATCTTTTTGTATGAGTCCTAGCTGACAGTGTTTCTTGTTGACACAGGACACAATGGATGAGGATTATTGAGCTGGTTTCGTATCATATAATTTCTCCATTCTATTTGCGAATTTTACAGAGTTTGCTATTGGTGAAGTAAGCAAACGAGGACGGAAAACCCCGTTCTTCTAGTCTGCTGTCCTCTCCTTCGAGAAACACCCCACTCTGCACCTCTGACTATGACGACCACCGCCAGTGCTGCTTCCACTCTATATCTCCTACAGTCTGTCTCCATTGTCAATTCAACCGCCTAGCTCCGGTGAGCCACCATCTATTCAGTCACATAGCAACATTTAACACTACTCACATACTATCAGATTTACTATATATATACCCTACTCTTTCACATTTTTATTGCTCTATTCTCTTATTTGTTGGTTGGTATTCAAGAGGAACGATATATCTTGTTTAGTGGTTTGTTACTTGTTGATTGCTACTTGATATGGTTGGAAGAGTGTTAAATTTCTTACTGATCGCGAAATTGGAATTATTTTTGGTCGTTTTGTTTTGCAATTTAGTTGTTAGTGCTGAATGGAACTTATGATTGTGTTGAGTGGCGGAAAATTGTCCTTATGAAAGTGTGTAACAAGAGTAAGACCCTTGTCACATGGATGAAAGAAAAGAAAAGAGAAAGCTAGTGTTTATAGTGATAGAACTAGTTGAAATTTTAATTAGGTAAGAGGGATAACGGATTGAACTGCAAAAATTTGGTCGAACCTCTTCTCTAGTGATTCTCTGTACTGGAAATCAAAATCCAAAGGTTCTTTGGCCTATTATGTTGACCAAATCCTTGAAGATAGGTTGAGGCCAAAGAGACAGCAGGTCTGAGAAGCTAAAATGGAGAGAGAATGAGCTTGTGTGGTTGTTTCGTTTAAAATGGAGAGAAAATCAGCAGGTCAAAAGTTAAATTTTTGTGATTGTCCATTGCATGGATTGATTATTATGGCATCTTTTTGTATGAGTCCTAGCTGACAGTGTTTCTTGTTGACACAGGACACAATGGATGAGGATTTTTGAGCTGGTTTCACATCATATAATTTCTCCATTCTATTTGCGAATTTTACCCAGTTTGCTATCGGTGAAGTAAGCAAACGAGGACGGAAAACCCTGTTCTTCTAGTCTGCTGTCCACTCCTCCCACTCTGCACCTCTGACTACGACAACAACCGCCAGTGCTGCTTCCACTCAATATCTCCTACAGTCTGTCTCCATTGTCAATTCAACCGCCGAGCTCCGGTGAGCCACCATCTATTCAGTCACATAGCAACATTTAACACTACTCGCATACTATTAGATTTCACTATATATATACCCTACTCTTTCACATTTTTTATTGCTCTATTCTCTTATTTGTTGGTATTCAAGAGGAACGATATATCCTGTTTAGTGGTTTGTTACTTGTTGATTGCTACTTGAATCTTGATATGGTTGGAAGCGTGTTGAATTTCTTACTGATCGCGAAATTGGAATTATTTTTGGTCGTTTTGTTTTGCAATTTAGTTGTTAGTGCTGAATTGAACTTATGATTGTGTTGAGTGGCGGAAAATCGTCCTTATGAAAGTAGTTTGTAACAAGAGTAAGACCCTTGTCACATGGATGGAAGAAAATAATAGAAAAAGCTAGTCTTTATAGTGATAGAACTAGTTGAAATTTTAATTAGGCAAGAGGGATAATGGGTTGAACTGCAAAAATTTGGTCGAACCTCTTCTCTAGTGATTCTCTGTACTGGAAATCAAAATCCAAAGGTTCTTTGGCCTATTATGTTGACCAAATCTTTGAAGATAGGTTGAGGCCAAAGAGGCAGCAGGTCTGAGAAGCTAAAATGGAGAGAGAATAAGGTGTTGTTTCTTTAAAAATAGAGAGAAAATCAGCAGGTCAAAAGTTAAATTTTTGTGATTGTCCATTGCATGGATTGATTATTATGGCATTTTTTGTATGAGTACTAGCTGACAGTGTTTCTTGTTGACACAGGGCCCAATGGATGAGGATTTTTGAGCTGGTTTCGCATCATCTAATTTCTCCATTCTATTTGCGAATTTATAGAGTTTGCTATTGGTGAAGTAAGCAAACGAGGACGGAAAACCCCGTTCTTCTAGTCTGCTGTCCACTCCTTCGAGAAACACCCCACTCTGCACCTCTTGACTACGACGACCACCGCCAGTGCTGCTTCCACTCAATATCTCCTACAGTCTGTCTCCATTGTCAATTCAACCGCCTAGCTCCGGTGAGCCACCATCTATTCAGTCACATAGCAACAATTAACACTACTCGCATACTATCAGATTTCACTATATATATACCCTACTCTTTCACATTTTTATTGCTCTATTCTCTTATTTGTTGGTTGGTATTCAAGAGGAACGATATATCCTGTTTAATGTTTTGTTTCTTGTTGATTGCTACTTGATATGGTTGGAAGAGTGGTAAATTTCTTACTGATCGCGAAATTGGAATTATTTTTGGTCGTTTTGTTTTGCTATTTAGTTGTTAGTGCTGAACTTGAACTTATGATTGTGTTGAGTGGCGGAAAATTGTCCTTCTGAAAGTGTGTAACAAGAGTAAGAGCCTTGTCACATGGATGGAAGAAAAGAATATAGAAAGCTAGTCTTTATAGTGATAGAACTAGATAAAATTTTAATTAGGTAAGAGAGATAACGAGTTGAACTGCAAAAATTTGGTCGAACCTCTTCTCTAGTGATACTCTGTACTGGAAATCAAAATCCAAAGGTTCTTTGGCCTATTATGCTGACCAAATCCTTGAAGATAGGTTGAGGTCAAAGAGACCGCAAATCTGAGAAGCTAAAATGGAGAGAGAATGAGGTGTTGTTTCTTTTAAAATAGAGAGTAATCAGCTGGTCAAAAGTTAATTTTTTTGTGATTGTCCATTGCATAAATTGATCATTATGGCATTTTTTGTATGAGTCCTAGCTGACAGTGTTTCTTGTTGACACAGGACCTAAGCACCAATACCGTGACTGCCATTGTCAAAGCTCTAAAACCAAGAACTTTTATCCAATGGATGAGGATTTTCGAGCTGGTTTTGCATCATATACGTTCTCCATTCTATTTGCGAATTTTACAGAGTTTGCTATCGATGAAGTAAGCAAAATTTTAAATGTTAGTACTGAGCTACGGAAACTAGACAGGATGTTCCTTAAACTTCAAGGAATGGTTTATAGAATGGAGTGTAGTCGTGCATATTTATGGGACAGCACACACTATAAGTCATCGATTGCATGGGTAGAAGAAGCCAATGGACTGATCTATCATATCAGTGATATCCTTGAGGATATTTCATTGAACTTAGGTCTCCGGGAAGGAGAAAAACTGGTAAATGGAAACCTGTTGATAGATAAGTTCTTGTTACTAATACCACGTAAAATTAGTGGTATTGTAGAAGACTTAGAAGATCTGATAAAGGAAATGGGAACAGATTTTCTTGTTGACTTGGTGAAACAAGTTCCTAAAGTGGTTGCTAGGAAGCAATGTTGCGGATTTGCTGGTTTATCAAATCCAACTCACACGATTGGGAGAGAATCACAAATTGAGAAAGTTGTCGAAATATTGACCCAAAACGATGTACCTCTTTGTATCACTGGAATGGCTGGCATAGGTAAGACAGTTTTTACCCACTGTCTTTGCGAAAACAAGGAAGTGAAAAAGGCATTCCCATTGCTTTTATGGGTTTCTGTTTCTGCAGAGTTTGAATTGGTCAGAATTTTGAGAGCAGCCATTGAGTCTGTCTCGAAAGAAAGCTGTTATTTGACGGATCTGAATGTATTAAGGTCCACTTTACAAGAATTATTACTCTCGGGAGATAACTTTTTAGTGGTACTAGATGATTTGTGCGTTGAAGATCTGGAAGATTGGAACTTACTGTATGCAGCTTTTAAGGTTGAATCAAAATCAAGTAGATTGGTATTTACTACCCGAAATTCAAAAGTGGCATCTTTTATTGGTCCCAAGATGTTTTGTCTTCAACCTCTCTCAGATGAGGACTGTTGGAAGATCATCAAACAAAGGCCTTTCATTAACAATAAAATGCACAATTTAGAAGTAATAGGACTTGAAATAGCCAAAAAATGTAAAGGTGTACCTTTGGTGGCAAAAACAATCGGAGACATACTTCACTGTTTACCTGTTAATGAATGGGATTCTTTGGTTAAGGGTAACCTGTGGGACTTGCCCCAGATTGAGAATCATGTATTCCCTATTTTTCTGCTTAGCTATTGCTGTCTGCCACAACACATAAAGAAGTGTTTCTCTTATTGTTGTTTATTCCCACCAGAATATGTCTATAAAATGAAGGATATTGTTCTGCTGTGGATGGCCGAAGGCCTGATTCATCCGATAGACGGAAGAAGAATCGAGGATATTGGTCGAGAATATTTTGAAGAACTTGTATGGGGGTCTCTTTTCAACTCTGGAAATGAATATTTTCATGACTTTGATGGATCTTATACCATGCATGAGTTCAATCATCATGTAGCTGCTTCTGTCTCTTCGAGTATATGTCAGCGTATAAAAGACAACCAGTCTTCTTACTCTCTTGATAGGGTTCGACACTTGTCAATTTGTCATGGCAATACTCAGTCCAATGGCCTACATAGTTTCTCCAAATGTCACAATTTGCGGACATTCACATTGTTATGTGCAACTAACATAGGTCCAAATGTCCCTACACTCTTTAAGAACTTCAAAGTTATGAGGGTTTTGAACTTAAAGTGCGGGGGCATCACAGAAATACCAGAAATTGTTGGCAATCTTAAGCACTTGCGGTACTTGGACCTTTCCAGTAATAACATCAATACTTTACCATCATCACTATGTGAGCTTTCGTTATTACAAGTGCTTATTTTGGAGAATTGCACATCATTGATGTGTTTGCCGGACAAGTTTAGTAGGCTAACGAATCTTCGGCATCTTTTCTTTGATGTAAAACATCAAATTCATCAAATGCCAGTAAATTTCAGATTCTTGAAGGAATTACAAACATTGAATGCTTTCGTTGTGGAAGCGGAGAATGGTCATACCATTGAAGAATTAGAGGATTTGAATTCTCTGACGGGATCATTTTCTTTAATTGGATTAGAAAACATTCTAAATGGACAATTAGCTGCAACTGCAAACTTAAACGAAAAGCAAGGTATTATAGAGCTTGAGCTGCAATGGAGGAGTCATCACGAGAGAAATATCGAATATGAGATTTTGACGGGTCTTCAACCTCATAAAAACTTAGAAAGGTTGGTCATCAGTGATTACCGTGGTACCACGTTTCCATCATGGCTCTGGTATGGACCTCACTGCATGCTTAGATCTATATACTTGCGTAACTGTGAATGCTGCAAAGGTCTCCCACCTTTGGGAAAACTTCAATTCCTTGAAAGCCTTACTATTGAGAATATGACGTTATTGGTATCAGCCTTCCCTTCTTTAGTTGATCTTGGCGTGTTTCCGTCACTCAAGTCATTAGTTTTTTCTACAATGCCTCAATTGATTGGTTGGGGATCTGGTGAATATGACATGCCTCAACTTACTGATCTGAAGTTCTACACTTGCCCGAAACTAAAGTGTTTGCCCGAACTTTCCCGGCTCAGTTCTCTCAAATGCCTAGAAATTGAAAAATGCGAAGGACTTGATTGGTTGCCATCTAGTTCAGCTTCTATGGAAAGTTTCATCATCCGGGATAGTCCAGCCCTCAGTGACAGTTGCCAGGTAGGTGGCGAAAACTGGAGTACATTGAAAACAATACCATTTGTACAGATTGATCAATTGGTAATGCCCACGACGCCACAACAAATCTGAAGTTCGTAGGTACTTTTTATATCTCCTAATGTATGTGTTTAAAGAAAATAACTAGTCATAATAGCTAATTATCGTGTGAAAATTTGTGATGTTTCTTTGCGGTATTTGCCAATTTTCCTCTTTTTGTATTGTTTCGTCTTGATGTGTGTTATCAGGGTTATACGTTTCTGCAATCCCTCTCACTCAACTTTTTAGGCATCGTTGAGAACACTAATGATTGAATACTTTGCTGTTTACACATATTTTGGGTAGTGGGCTGAGCATCCCGGGATGCTGATACCACCCATTCCCAAATTTTGATGTATTAAGCTAAGTTTCAACTTATTTCTTTTGTTGCCCCTGCTTTTGTGCCTGAAAAATCTCATCTGGTTCAATATGTCCCATGTGCTGAGTATTTAGCTTTCCTTGCTTACTTTACATTGATCTTTCTCTGTGTGTTGCTTTTATATTTTGATTACCTGCAAAATTGAACAAACAGTTAGTAAACAAAGAATCCTCATAGCTCTCCTCCCATAGGATTTGAACTTGAGAATTTCCTTTTTCCCTTTTTCAAGTCTCACTTTTCATTTTCTGCACACTTGAATTCTTAGGTAGGGCATCTTCAACTTGTCACTATTGATTATCCTCCTTCCTTGGGGTTCCATCTCTTGAAAATTGCTCCCACAAAGGGTTCCTTTTCCCAGTGCTAAGTTAGCCAGGTGGTCTGCCAATTTATTTCCTTCTCTAAGGATGTGCTTAATAACCACTGGTCTCCCTTGCATTAGTCTCCATATTTCTTCTAAAGTAATAACAACTCTCCAGGGAAACCTTCCAGCTTTTGTCTACAATGTTGTTCGTTAAAAGTGAATCAGTTTTGATCACCACTCTATCCATCTGTGTTGCCTCTATGAACTTTAAGGCCTGTAGTATAGCCATAGCTTCTGCTTGTGTGTTAGTACAAGCCAATTCTCCAATCTCTTGTGCTTGTGCTTGCAAAATATCCCCTTGCTCATCTCTTACACAAAAAACCCAAGAGCTTCTTCTTGGATCTGTTTTAATTTTGATCTGTCCTGTGTCAGGTGCCTTCCATATTACCTTTGTTACCTTGGCTTTGAGATTGTAGTTATTTAGAGCTTCCACCACTATTCTCCAATTGTACGGGACATGTTTTCTGCTTCTTCTCCTTGTCTTTATAAGTAAACCAGAGTATGCAATAATTTGAAAAATTAACCTACTACTAGACATTTCTATATCTCTTGCATTACTGTTTGCAGTGTCTTGATTAATTTTTGTTGTATTTGCAACTAATGATGATTCTGTCTCCTCTGACTTTGCAGGTTCCTGATCATCCAATGATGATTGCTTATTATCTGGTGTATTTTTGGGCGAATATATCTCTCCTGAGATTTCTGTGTTGATTGGTTGTATATCATTCTCCTGACTGTTACTGGTTTTGCCTTGAGGTTTCATATTTGTATAATTGCTTCTATTCTCTGTTATGTTGTACTTCCTTGTGAATCTTGACAGTTTATAGACTGTATGGATACTCCTGTATTGGTTGTATTCTCGTTTTGGTTGTCTGCTACCTTTGCCAACTCTTGTTTTTGAATTTTATCTGATGCATTATGTTTATCCCAAAAAGATGCTTCTACCCAAGGTTTGGATGTCTCTTTCTTAGTGGACTTGTTGGCTGGTGATTCCCTTGTTCTGTTTTCTGTGTTTTCAGGCTTCTCTTCTGTCAACTCCACTAGTTTCTCAAACTTGTTAGAGGTATTAGTAGCTTTGGTTTCTCTTTTCTCATTATCATGTTGCTCCTCCTGGTGGTGTTCGTCTTTTTCCTTGTTTCTCTTGATTGTGTTTCGGTTGCTTGCTGTTGTTCTTCTTGTTCTGGACTACATTGCAGTTCTGATAGATCAACCTCCCTTTCTTTTAAAATCCATTCACTTCTGGTGTAGTTGCAGGTTGTTTCTTTTTATTCCCCTTTCATTGGCTTTGTTTTTATCGTTTGTCTTTCTTCTTTCTTTGGTCTATGTTCTGGATGTAAAATCCAACATCCTAGTAGGTCATGCCCCTGTAAACTACAGCATGTGCAGTACTTTGGAAGGTAATCATGCTGAATTCGTTGCCATTTAGATCTCACTCTTCCTGTTTTATCTGAATTCTCTTGTGTAGATTCTTGAGTAAATCGATTTACACCTTTACCCGTGAACAACTAGATCTTGTTTGATTGTATGTGGCTTTGTCAATCACTAAGGTTTTCCTACTGCGCTAGTCAAATAGAACAGTGACACTCTTTTTAGAAATACTTTAAACTTTTTTTTTAATATATTCAAATATTATTAATATTAAAATAAAAATAATGAAAGAGTGTTACATGGTAATTTGGACTCTAAATTAAAGTATACAAATTTGTTTGGGATTTCTACTCGTCTTACTAAAAATAAAAATAAAAAATAAAAATTATTTCAGCTTTCTTCATCATATTAACGCTTCTTCTCCAACACCATACCATTGAAGCGAACATACACCATTGAATCTCGCACATTTTTTTTCATAACTTATTAAGTCTTCCTAGCAACATGAAAAAGTGTTTATTTTCATTGCTTCAAGCTTTGTTTTCTCTTCTCATTCAATCAACAACATAATAAATTAACTGAAACAAGCTTTTATTCGTATATCACTCTATGTACTCCGATTTCAATAGTACTCAAAGTCGATATATTAAAACATTAAACGTTATTTCAAAGAAAAATTATTGTTTCAATGTACAAGAATTTTATGTTTTGTCGTGACAAGGATTAATAAAGTATAGTTTTAGAACTTTTCAGCAAATTGGAAAAGTTCAATAGGGGAAAATATTTTAAACTTTTAAGCAAACTTAATTAATTGTATTGCAGGACACTTTGAAATCTCTACCCTAGAAGATTAAAATGCAAAATGAATCGAAGAATCTTTGGAGGATATAGAAAGCAACATGAATGTAGTTGTACCTTTATTCCTCAATTAGTTGATCAAGAATTAAAAGAGACTTGCATCGGTATGAAATTTCAATCACTTGATATTGAATTTAAATTTTATCTTGAGTATGCTTATTGTAATGGTTTTAGTGTGCACAAAAATCAAATTAGTAGATTAAGAAAAGATAAATCAATTATTGGTCAAGAGTTGTTTGTTCAAAAAAAAGATTTCGTTCAAAGAAAAGTCTTGACAGTAATAAGCAATGAGATGAGACTAGAGAAGGTGCAAAGTAATGATATGTATGTCAAAAAACGAAGAAGAAAAATGGGTTATAACTAGACTTGTCTCAAATCATAATGATGAACTTGCTTCTTTCAATAGTCAGAAATTCTTGCGATCAAAAAGAAAAAAAAATCAGAGGCTCTGAATAATCTTATTGATGTCTTAAATAATTTTGATATTCGTCCAAGTAAAATTACATTAGTGTTGATTACTCAGGCTGGGGGCGTAGAGAATCTCAATCTAACTGGACGAGATATTCAGAATTTTTTGAGAACTAAAAGGAAAAATTATCTTGAGAAATGAGATGCACAATTGATGTTGAAATACTTTCAAAAGCGACAATCTAATAGCCCCAGATTTTTCTATGCAATACATATGGATGTAGAGGATCATTTAGCCAATTGTTTTTTGGTGGATCCTAGGTCTAGGATAGCTTACAAGAATTTGTGAGATGTTGTCCTATTTGATCCTAAAAAGTTGACAAATAAATATACGATGCCTTTTGTTCCATTTACCGTAGTTAATAACTATCACCAATCTATTTTATTTGAATGTGCTCTTCTTTGGGATGAAAACTTTTCAATGGTTACTTCACACTTGGCAAGAGGCTATGTTTGGTGTTTTCCCTCGTACAATAATTACAGATCAAGATGTTGCAGCAACAAATACAGTTGCAAAGGTGTTCCCAAATAGTGCACACCATTTTTGTATGTCTACAAGTCATATTTCTCATGAATTTGATGATTTTAAAAGTGAGTTTATTAAGTGTTTACATTGTACAATGACTCTCGAGAAATTTGAAACTGCTTGGATTGATTTAATGAAAATGTACAATTTAGAAGAACATAATTGGTTGCGTAGGATATATGCAATTCGCGAGAAATGAATTTCAGCATATGTGCGAACTAATTTTTGTGCTAGAATGTCAACAACTCAAAAAAGTGAAAGTATGAATAAATACTTCAAAGATTATCTTAACTCTAGTACATCAATGAGTGTATTTGTGACTCAATATGATAAAGTTGTTGACGCTAGGTATGACAAAGTAAGAGAGAAGGATTATAAGACAAAACATTCAAAGGCTATCTTGAAAACATTACATCTAATGGAGGACGAAATAGCCAAAATGTATACAAAAAAAATATTTCAAAAATTTCAAGAAGAGTTGATTCAATCTCAAAAATTTATTTCAGAAAAAAATGAGGTTCGGGATGGAATACATATCTATAAAGTACATTTATTTCAAAGACAAATACCAGCATATATTTTTCTTTTCTGAATAAGCTACTCGATCAGAAAAACATTACAAATTTACATATCAAAGATTGTTGCAACCATGTAAAGAACTTGATGAACTTCCATATGAGGATGTGAATGATATTGTATGTGATGGTAAGTTATAGAGTCAAATATGAATTTGGCTATCATTGTTGATTTGATACTTGTTAATTCGAGTTAATCTGAGTTGAACCTAGTATTTATTGATAGTACTAATAGTCTCAATTGTTTGGTGAAAGAACTAGGTAGTTTTGGAGGGTTTGGAGATGGAAAATGAGTTGAAAAATTCGTCAGACGCACGTGCAGTGCGCCAGAAGTTGGCCCCAGTTAACCAAGGCCTGGCGCCACCAATATGCCGAATCCAACATTTTTCGTCCAGTTTTCATGGTTTAGACTTTTTAAGTCCTTCCAAAGTACATTAACATCCTCCAATGACTCTAATCACTTCAAATGATTTCTAAATACCTAGAAATCATCCAAAGAACTCAAATCGAAACCTTGAATCCATAATCCAAATTCTATAGATGTTAGGATCAAAGTCAAGAAAGTAAGAAGTCAAGTCTAAAGCTATGAACTAAGTTAAAGTAAAGTTTTAAAAGTTCTTAGAGTCTTACTTAAACGTTTTAACTTCGTTTTAAGACTCAAGTTCGAGTTAAGGAAAATAGTAAAGGTTGAGTTTTTTTTTCAAAAAGGTATAAGGGACTAAGTATTGTCTAAGAGCAAAAGTTTCAAGTTAAGTAAAGAACAAGAGTTGAGTTCATTTCTCTAAAGTTAAAGTACTCCTTAAAGGTTGCTAAATGTTTCACATTTAAGTAAAAAAGAGGGGGACATTGATTTCCAAAAGGAGCTTTTAAAGCTAAAAGGTTCAGTAAATTATCTCAACCCAAAGAAAGAAAGTTTTTATTAAAATCATGAGCTAAATTACATTTTGGGAGTAGTATTAAGCACCGATGTGGGGATGAGAGTTCAGATAACTCAAGTTCTCATGTAAACCATGTAGCCATATGGGTATTAACATGTCATACTTTTTAGATGATCACGTAAGGTTAGCTAGTGGATCCACTAGGTAGAGGATGTTCTTTGTGACAACAAATATATATAGGACAGTTCTGGCAGCGTGGGCAAGACGTTGTATCACCACTTAGGCTCATAGTGGTGGTTTTCGGTTAAAGAACTTCCACAGAAACTATTTACTTTCATATATTAGTAAAGTTGAGTTTATTATTGTATCATCTTTAATGAATTAAGAGTTTACACTGTTTTACCAGTTTATATATATATATATATATATATATATGTTCTTATTGCTTTATATTGAGTTGTTATCTTGTGAGTTGAGCAAAGCCAAGGTAAGTTCATCCTTACTCCACTTCGAACTTTAGAGTTGTACTTAGCAATCCAACTCGCATACTCGTACATTCGATATAATGATGTCAGTTGTCCTGCATCGATTTATGATGCAGACGCAGGTAACCAGGATCAGCATGCAGCGCTTCATTGATCCAGATTGATCTCCAGAGTTAATGGTGAACCTCCTTGTATTCCGGAGGACATCCTTTTCATTTGCTTTACTAGTTTGGCTTTTAGGATGTTGTGTGGTCTGTCCCAACATCCATCTCAGTCAGTTTAGAGGCTTCGTAAACAGTTAGTAGTTTAGTTTGGAGTCTATTTACTTGTTGATATTTAAGTGTCATTTTGGCCAGATTATTATATGAAGTATTTATTTGAACATACTTTATTTCTTGATGAAGATAAGTTTAGTCTTTCACTGCGTTAAGTAAGCCAGACGAAGGGTTCGCTTGGGGGCCAACAATGGTCTTCGAGTGTCGGCCATATTTAGGGATGGGCGTTCGGTTCTTCGAGTTGATTTAATCAAATTTCGGTTCGGTTATTTGGTTTTAGAAAAGTGTGCACCATAGTTTATACCAAACCAGATCAGTTCGATTTGGTTTTTCTACTTCGGTTGAATTTAGTTCTGTATTTTTAAATCGGGTTTTCGGTGTGAATAAAAATAAAGAGGGAATATGATAAAGTGCTAAGAGTTTCATCATGTATTTAATAAAGTGTATAACTATTGTTAATTAAGCAATACAATTTAAATATTTTTAAATTTAGTAACTACAACTCATTTTTTTGGTTCACCATAGTTTCGGGACCCTTGCACCAAACTCCGAACAGAAGAACCAAAGTTTTGAAAAGAAAACCAACACCAAATCGAAAAACCGAAGAATCGAAACCGAAAAACTAAACTTTTTTGGTTCAGTTTGGTTTTTCAATTTTTCGGTATTTATGTCCACCCCTAGCCACGTCTAGGTTGTAGGCTCCGAGTGTGACATCATATCCCACCTCATTTATGGTGGTTTTGCTTTAATGTGTTTGTATGTATTTTAAATTTATTTATAGCATATATGCAAAAATGACAACTTTTTCAGGATTTGATGAGAACAACTTCGTATCCATACCAAAGAGGTTTCTAATCTATGAGTTGACTTGGAGTTTGTGGAGTTTTAAACTAAGAACAACGACACTTCTTCAAAGTTTTGTTTTGTTCTTTTCTTTTTTGTAGAATATAATCCTATAAGTTGTTTATAGCACAATATTTTGTTCAAGACTTTTTTTCTTTTTAGTTTACACACAGAAACTCAGAGTTTTAGCTTTATTTTTTTGTTGATTGTCTTTTTATTTATAGTGAATTGGTTACTCTTTTGTGACTTCATATTTGTTGGCAGTGATTTTCTCAAAAGGACCGAAGTGATTTGCAATAAGAATACACGAGAAATCAAAGCATCTTAATTTTTCTTAATCTTTATTTTACTATGAGAAAAGCAAATCATATTAGTTCTACAATCAAGTTGATGTGTATTTTTGCCTGTTTTAAGTTAGTTGCAGACACCTTGATAAAATGTCTTCTTTCTTATACTGCAATGAGAAATCTGTAATGACAAATTAACTTCTCGTGTACTCATCTACTCATTTTCTATAGATCAGCTTATAGATAGATGCATCAAGAGTGCTTAAATCTTCCATTAACTTAGGTAAGTAAAAAATACTAATTTATAAGCACCTAATTTTAAGCTAAAATATTAAAAGAAGCAATATAAATCTCTATAAACGCACTCGACATTAGAAATATCAGGAATGCATCTCTTTTTTATTAATGGTATCTGTGTTGCATTCAACACAATAAACTAAAGAAAAGTGAGTTTTACTTGTATTGCAGATATAGTGGTTGAATTCAAGACTTACATAGTAGTTTAAATCCTATGTCAATTAGACACTATTACAATTGTGAAGAAAGCTTTAAAATTACAGTAAATGAAATTCCTTCATACTTCAAATATAATCGAAAAAGCAAATCACTTGCTACTGTCATCGCAAAATAACTACATGTTAGGTTATTAGCATTTTAATATTAATATTTACCATATTAAATTGCTTTATTTTGGAGTTATAAGAATGAACATTGGAATGGATGACTTCTACATCATCCATTACCATTGGTTATCCATCAATGTATTTCATTCTTAATTCCTCCATTACTCTTTGTAACCTATGTAACTCCGATTGTAACCTATTTAACTCTCATTGTAACCTATGTAACTCCCATTGTAACCTATGAAACTCCTAAGGCCATTATCTTCACTATTTACTACCTCCATTATCTTCCTATTCATTGCTACGATGACTTCTTGTAGTATAAATAGTGGTAGTCTTCATTTGGTTTTAGAGACACACAATTCACAAGAGAATACAAAGAGTGAAAGAGTTAATCTAAAAGAGAGTTCTTATTAGTTGAAGGGAGGTGTTCTTTTTTGTGGAGCTTT